CAATTATTCCCCAAGCAGTTCTATAAAAGTCCACAGAAATAATAACAGGCCCAGGGGCCTTATTAAGACTCATTCCAAACATTGCTTCTCTAATTTCTTCTTTTGTAACCTCTCTACATAAGTTGGAAGCTGCATCCCCTGAGAGTTGATGGAAAACTAGAGACCTCAGCCCTTCTACAGAGCTTTCTTCCACTTCTTCATTTTTCTTACCAAGCAAGTTTTGATAGAACTCAACTGCAAGTTTACCTATCTCTTCAATATCAGTTACCTCAGAACCATCTTCCTTACGAATCATAGAGATATTTTTCCTATGCTGCCTGATCTTAAGAGATTGAGGAAATATCTCGTATTAAGGTCCCCTACCATGACAGCCTGCACTCGAGCTTTATGTCTATAACATGCCTCCTCAGCTAATTGAAGCTCTCTACATATCTGGCACATTCTGACTCCTTTGCAAATGAACTTGAAGCAGGATTAGAGAGCAGTTATCTGAGCATCCTCAAGTTCCTTCTCAGCAGCTCTAGCTCTTAATTGAAATATCAGAAAACAATTCCTTATTCAACTCCTTCAATTTTCTTTTCAACAACCTTAACTTTTGACAAACCCTATAGAAAGGGTAACCTGCTACATAAGTACTCCACACTTCCTCTAAGATCTCATTGAACTTTGGGTGCTTCCCCCAAAAGGAGAAGTATTTGAACGGTTTAGGCAAGTTTTTTTGAGCTGGAACTGAATGAAGCAACAAGCCACAGTGATCTGAAACTGTACCAGGGGTAGTGGTGCTAGCCAGCTATTAGGAAACGAGGTTAACCAATCATTATTGACAAAAATTCTGTCTATCCTTCTAGCAATTGGGTTGTTTCTGTTTGTTCACCCAAGTATACTTCTCTCCCAGCACTTAATGCTCAATTAACTGCATAGTATCTATCCAATCTTGAAATTCAACTCCACTCGAGCCAGGAGAAGCTCCATTAGAAGCATCAGCAGATTGTAAAATAGCATTAAAGTTTCCCATGACCAGCCATGGCTTCCCAGTGACTGGCAAGGTACTCATCTGATAGTAAGTATTTCTTCTATCAGATTCTTCGTTTGACCCATACACCACCATAGTGATACAACATGTAGTACTTCCTGCTACTTCCAAATGAATGAAATTAGCCCCCGAAATAGGTGCAGTAACTAGCAGATTAGGCTTGTGAAGAATCCAGATACGCCCTCCAGAAGAATCCCTATAATTTTCAATCAACTTCCAGCTAGCAAAATGTTCTCTACATATATCCACAACCTTTGACTGTTTTAACTCTAGTTTCAAGTATAACCATGATATCAATATTCTTCAACTTCAGAAACTTACTTATATACACCTGCTTAGAGGATTTGTTTAATCCTCTTATGTTCCAGGCTGCAACTATCATTTCCTCTTTGCAGGCCTACCCCTACCCACCTTCTTCCCCCTGCCACCTTTCTTCATGGCTGCTATTGTTTTGACAGCAGATGGAGCAACAACTTCATTCTTATTTATGATAGAAAGACTACACTCTTCATCCTCCTAGGACACCACTACCATCTTACCTTTAGCAAGTCGAGCAGCTGTTGATGGACTAACACTCTTCCTGCCTTGAATAACTTCCTGAAACTCTTTCTCAGACGGCAAGACAACATCCAACTCTCTATCCTCCTCGGTCATTGTGCACTCCTTTCCACTTTCGTCATTTTCAACTGGCACATTTTAAATCACCTCAGTAGCCTGCTCAATATTTTCCCCTTGATCCCAGCCCTGCACAAGCTCTTCAGCTACAGTTTTGCTCTTGTCAACCTTTGGCACCCAGATTTTCTTCATCTTTAACCCAGCCAAACTACAGTCGTGACGATAGCAATTACAGGTCTTACAGATGGGGGGCAAATTATAGTACTCCACAGAAGCACTAAAACCAGGTCCTTCATCTGGGGCAAATCTCAAGGTTTTTGGGCATGGGGAATCCACTCCAATCACCACGCAGCACTTTCGTACCCGAATTGATAACCCATTTTGGGTTTGTCCAGTTTTTTCCACTTGAAGAGTCCTTCATTGTCTCTTGTTTTGATCAGATCCAAGATGTTAGCAAGGTGAACTGATAGATCTCTGATGGGTTTTATGTTCCTCTTGTGTTTCTGGAGTATAAAGTTGTTGATTTCTGATCCAATCTCCAAAAACTGCTTCTTTGGCCTTTTGGTCAATGGTTCAAACTTTACTTAGATCTGGTTTTTGTTTGTTTTGACAATATAATTCAATCTTTGGTGGGGGATGCTTTGTTTCAACAATCTGTGTGTTCTTGCAGTCATTCATGGATTGATTCTGCAATGAGATTATCACTAGGTCGTTTAATACTTAAAAGTAGGTCATTGCCTAGCAGTAGGGTTTACACTTGGTTCAGGTTTATGATTTATCAGATCTGGGTTTGACATAGTAATTTCAATCTTTTGGGCTGCCTTTGTGTTACCAATCTGTCTGTTCTTGAAAATTTTGATTCGTACTTCAATGAATAATCCCTAATGTTAGAATATAGTACGTCATTTGTATAGACATAAGGCTTCCTATGTTACATGTTTTTTCTTATTTATCAGGGGAGAGGATTATTTTGGGATGATATGTTATTTTTGTAGACTCCAGAAATCAAGAAGACTCTACTGCCACCCGAAAACCAGGAGCTGCAATCTCTGCCTGCTTGTAGTATTCATGCTTATGTAGTCATGGATAAACTGCATAAGCATGGCTTATGGCTGAAATCATCCGTGGAACCACGATAGGTGTTATGAGATTCAAGTGGCTACTTGGTTCAAGACTCGTGTCCTGCGTTGCAGGCTTGCCAGCAAATCTCCGTTTTGTGTTTTTCGGGGACAGGAAGTTATTGGTTAGCTTTTGGGAGTGAACTCAAAGAGTGTTGAGGATGTTTGATGAGCGCAGATGGCTCATTTCAAGACTCCACTTAACCCGAGGTATCTCATAGCTTACAACAAAATAGGCTTGGCATTCATAACCAACAGAAGGCTAAACCTTTATACGCCCTTAGCAGAGAAATTGCATTTCTAAAGAGAGAATCTCAACTGAGAAGGAAACTGAGCTTAGATTCTAAAGACGGAGAGCACTGCCTGGGGTCCTCATCATCATGCATTTCATGGAGAAAGCTGTCATATGCTGCTAGTACATTGCTGCAACATATCGCATATGTAAACCACCAAATTAGGTTCAGTTTGCGTATTTATCAGAAGGGCCCAGATGGGTAAAATAAAAAGAATCAGGGTTGAAAGGGGAAAAAACCACCAGTAGCAGCAGATCATATATAAGCGGCATCATCTCCTATTGGGAGTTTAGGTTTCCCATTTTGTTTCTTCTCCGCTCAAAAGGAAGCCGGGGTTCCGCCTACAAAATTCTTTCCTGCTGCGGCACCTGACCGGACTGACTGTCCCCTTCCTCCACCAGGTACTTCCGTGTTTCCTTCATCAGGCTTAAAACCTGCATTTCTTTCTCAACACCCCTCTCTTCTAGTGTGTAAAGAGCATCTTTATAGTGAAGTAGACTTGATTGAATTAGAGGAAAATATGAAGCGTTGGGAGTCTAGATCTCTGTTAACACTGTCACTACTTAGTATTGGGTCTTCACTGAGTTTTGGTTTGAGATCATTGAGTATTCCCAACATAGGAGTGTTTGGGGGAGTGGAGGATTGTCAACCGAGTTTTGTAATTTTTAGAGGAGCGGACAGCCTCAACTACATTGGAATTAGGTCATTCTGGAATTGAAATCTACAAGGGGCAATGGGTTACAGAGGTGGCAAGGGCGTGCCCATCAAGCTAGAGTTGAGTGTCAATAATGTTGTAGGGCTTGCTGAAGGATCCATTCTGGACTTGTGTTGTGGCATTTGGAGGGTTTCAAGTTATGTGGTGGGTTGGCCTGTACAATGCTGTGAGAGGAGCGAAGTGGTGGTACTGTGTGGTGCTTGTACGTTTTATAAGCTTTGTGGATGTCTCGTACATTTTAGCAGGAGGTCAGATTGGTGCAGAGCATGAGAGGTTCCTGGAAGAAGCTCCTTGTTTATTTTTGCCTAATGTTCTTTGGTTGGGCATACAGGCGTGTCCCTGCTTGTGTTTGAGAAGTGGTCCTGTTTGTGGCGTGGGTGTATATGTTATGTTATTTTCCCTACCTCTTTGATTTCTGTGTGTTGTTTCTGGTGTCTGTTAATTTCTTGCCAAACTCTGTTTCTGATGCTTTATCGTGACAACTTCAATTGTTCTTCTTGTGTGGCTTTAGATGGAGCCCTCATAGATAATATGAATCAATCAATTGATGCTTCGTAGATTAAGTGCATGCTACCATTATTGACTATCAGTTTTAGTGGTTGGCAGTACTTTTATTTGAAAATGGGGAAGGACAAAGGGCAGTCTTCAGGTAGGAAGAAGCTCAAGGACCCGTCAATCATCAATTGGGCTACTGCAAATAATAAAACGAAAAAGAGTGTCTTTGAGACTGAAATCGTACGCCAAGGCAAAGAAAGTGAGTTCTTATTGCATTGAATTTTGGATGTTACGTTGCTACTGGAGACTGAATTGTTTTTGTTTTAGCCATTTGTTGGGCTGTTTCAACTTGTGCAGTACTTGAATGATGTTTCAATATAAGTTTGGACGGTAGCAAGCATCGGATCAAGGCTTCGATTCAAGAACTTTTAGATTATGCTATAGAAAAAGATGCAGACAAAATTGAAAAGGAACCGGTGAGGTTGACCAATGCATGGCGACAGATCGATGGTCATGGACTCTCCCAATATGATGATTATGATAAGTATATAGGCAAACCACAATTAAGCAATCAAATGTCAGAAAAAGGAAAAGTGAGTTATTTCTGTCCATGCATATATTCACTACTTTCAGAAATAACTCACTTTTCCTTTTTCTGATATTTGATTGCTTAACTGTGGTTTGCCTATATACTTATCATAATCATCATATTGGGAGAGTCCATGACCATCGATCTGTCGCCATGCATTGGTCAACCTCACCGGTTCCTTTTCAATTTTGTCTGCATCTTTTTCTATAGCATAATCTAAAAGTTCTTGAATCGAAGCCTTGATCCGATGCTTGCTACCGTCCAAACTTATATTGAAACATCCTTCAAGTACTGCACAAGTTGAAACAGCCCAACAAATGGCTAAAACAAAAACAATTCAGTCTCCAGTAGCAACGTAACATCCAAAATTCAATGCAATAAGAACTCACTTTCTTTGCCTTGGCGTACGATTTCAGTCTCAAAGACACTCTTTTTCGTTTTATTATTTGCAGTAGCCCAATTGATGATTGACGGGTCCTTGAGCTTCTTCCTACCTGAAGACTGCCCTTTGTCCTTCCCCATTTTCAAATAAAAGTACTGCCAACCACTAAAACTGATAGTCAATAATGGTAGCATGCACTTAATCTACGAAGCATCAATTGATTGATTCATATTATCTATGAGGGCTCCATCTAAAGCCACACAAGAAGAACAATTGAAGTTGTCACGATAAAGCATCAGAAACAGAGTTTGGCAAGAAATTAACAGACACTAGAAACAACACACAGAAATCAAAGAGGTAGGGAAAATAACATAACATATACACCCACGCCACAAACAGGACCACTTCTCAAACACAAGCAGGAACACGCCTGTATGCCCAACCAAAGAACATTATGCAAAAATAAACAAGGAGCTTCTTCCAGGGAGTTCGCCTTGAGATTGTTAGTTTTGAGGAGATGGTACACAATGACTATAAAGACGGCAGGATAGTGAAGATTAAAGATCATGACATTGAGCAGTTGCTTCGTCAACACCCAGTTGTGGGAGCTTTAAGAGTTTACCCTTCCTTGATGAATTGGTCAGGGGTAAAGTCCAAATGTTGTCTTTATTGTTAGATAAATAAATTTTATGTCATCGCATGTATGTTATTAATATCTAATATGGATGCTTTTACTTATGTACTTAACAGAGTAACATTTACATGGGGCCCACTCAAGAAGAGTTTGATGCTTACAAAAACGCGTCACTGCTTCAGCATGCAATAGCTATTGTCGGATTTGGTATCGACACAACCGGAGAAGAGGATATCGAATGAATATTTCATCATTAGAAACTCCGAAGGAGAACAATGGGGCAATGGTGGTTATGGGAAGGTGGTCCGCAATCACAAGAGTATGCCCTCTGTATTCGTGAGTTACTCATACCCCATAGTGGACCTTTCAAATTTTCCTACTGAGGCAGAAGAGATGTGAAGACATAACAATCTTGAATTGGTACTTTTAGCTTTCCTAGTGGTCATTGGAGATATTTCTTTTTATCATTTTGGCTCGTGACTGTATTTGCTATTTCATCTTGGAATTGGTACTTCATCTATCTTTCCTATTGGTGACTGGAGATACTTCTTTTCTCCTTCCCTCTTCTTTCGGTTTGTTGGCGGAAGCCACCCCTACTAGCAACTTCCTGAATGTTATATAAATGAATATATATGTTGTTACTTTTGTTTAGTACTATTATTAATTAGTGCTAAGTTATGCTAGGATTATGATAAGCCGAGATGATTTGGTTTTTGACTTATTATTAGTGTCGGTTAGCGGAAGGAACCCAATCAGTCTGCAGCGGTAGATGTGATATCCAAATAACCAATAGGAAGTACGGAGATAATTATAACTGTAGTAAAATGTGACCTTATTCCTACATGCAGGGTACGCACCAATTGATGTCGAAAAAGTTATTCTGCTAACAATAATATTCGTTAGCAGATACTAAAAGGGTCGGATTGGAGGTCACGTCGGCCCAGGTTTCATCCAACGAAGGAGAAAGGTGTACTTGTGGTGGCTCACTTAAGTGAGCTGGTGATGGGCTTGCGGGGAGAAGCCGACACAGCGTGCGGCGCGGAAAACGAGTCGAGGAAGTGGCTTTGTGGGCCCGCTTCAGTTAGTGCGGGATTTTGGAGAGGAATGAAAAGAGAGAACGAAAATTGTGGGCTCATGTGGCCATGTGATATTTATGTATGTTTGTTTGTGTGAATATTTTTTATTTTCAGACGATTATATTCTGTGTTGACTTTGCATCATTGTTGAACTGAACTAGTATTCTTCCTTCGCAAACCAATATCCATCATTAAATTAATGTTTATCAAACCCAAAATTACCCAACCACCCGAAAGTGAATATTGTGTCTTTCATCAAATTTGTGAAGGATTGGAATATTGTGTCTTCATCAAATTAAACACACTATCAAGTGAAGCGGGGAATTATATCCACAACTATGTAATGGAGAAGGTCACGTCATCGGCCACGACAGCAGCCACGTCGGACTGCTTTTAATTATAACTTTAAAACATAAAAGTTTAGAGAGCATTACTAACGAAATTGTTAACAGAGAGTTAACGTTTGGCTAATAATTTGAGTTTCCATAGTTCTGGTTATAATTCTCCGCTTCATAATAATTGTGGCTAATATATTGGATTTACCCTTTATTTAAACATCTAACACTTTTGGTAACTATTTGGATTAGTGTACAACTATCATATATTAGTCAGTGTGTGGTGGATATTAGTCAGTATGTGGTGGATATTACACAGTGTGTGGTGGATATTAGTCTGTTATATTTTCAATATTATTTAGGTGTCACTAGATATTGGTCTGAGACGTTCGGATATTATTCTGTAGGGTTTGTGTTAGGGTATATGGTTTAAGGTTTAGGGTTAAGAGTTTAATGGTTTAGTTTTGGTTTGAATTGATATTAGTTCATGTTTTCATATATTTGTCTGGGAAGTTTGGATATTTTAATGGGGCACTTTTGGTAACTGCCCATTAAATAATAATAGTTTTTATGGTTTAGGGTTTGTGCTAGGGAAGAGGATTAAGGGTTTAGGGTCTAGCTTTGGTTTGAATTGATATTAGTTCCTGTTTTCGGAAAATTTCTTGAACGTTTGGATATTCTAATGAGGCACTTTTGGTAACTATTAAGATGTTGTCCAACATTTATTTAAGCATCTAGCACTTTTGGTAACTATTTGGATTAGTGTAAAACTATCAGATATTAGTCAGTGTGTGGTGGATATTAGTTTATTATATTTACAATATTATATAGGTGTCACTGGATATTGTTATGGGACGTTTGGATATTATTATGTAGGGTTTGTGTTAAGGTTTAGGGTTTAGGGTTTAATGGTTTAGTTTTTAGGTTTTAGTTTTGGTTTGAGTTGATATTAGTTCATGTTTTCGTATATTTGTTTGGGACGTTTGGATATTCTAATGGGGCACTTTTGGTAACTGCCCATTAAATTATAATATTTTTTTATGGTTTAGGGTTTGTGTTACGGTTTAGGGTTAAGGGTTTAGGGTCTAGCTTTGGTTTGAATTGATATTAGTTCATGTTTTCGGAAATTTTCTTGGACGTTTGGATATTCTAATGGGACACTTTTGGTAACTATTAAGATGTTGTCGAACATTTATTTAAGCATTTAGCACTTTTGGTAACTATTTGGATTAGTGCACAACTATAAGATATTAGTCAGGGTGTAGTGGATATTATTCAGTGTGTGGTGGATATTAGTCATTATATTGTGGATATTAGTATGTTATATTTACAATATTATTTAGGAGTCGCTGGATATTGGTCTGAAACGTTTGTATATTATTCTATGTGGAGTAGATATTTGTTATGATGAACATATATTATTAATGGGTGGGCCAAGATCAGTTTAGGGCGGGATTTTGGGAAAATTGGGGAAAGTAACCCCAATTTGTATCCAAAAATCAAAGTGATGGGGCAATTAATGCCCCAACCACTTTTCATCTCTCAAGTCCTCATTCTCTTTTTTTTTTGAAACCTCTCTTCCCCTCCTACGGAAAATACGCCGGCGGCGGCCTTCATCCTTCTTCTTCATCCTCTGCCATCCAAGAAAAGATCTAAGATGACGATCGATGACGAGGGCGAGTTAGATCGTCCAGCAACGAACTCGTCCCATGAAGTAGACGATTTTGTTGATGATGTCTTAGATGGTTTGAGTAAACTACATGGTGGTGGTGTGCCTGGCTTCGAAGTAGTAGAAGAAGAAGGTGATTGTGAATTGACATATATATATATGTTTGTGTTGTTAAGTTTTGGTTGAGAGCATTGAATGAAATTTAATGCTGTTGGTGTGAGTTTAATATTTGTTGTCGTCCTGGGATTCTATTACGATCAAGTTGGATACGATTTACCTACGGTTTGTTGGACGTACTTTTTTGTGTGTGGTTACGTGTATGGGCCTCTTGCATATTTACTGTATTATTTTGGATACTAGTTTGTTTGACTATAGTGTGGATACTTTTTTGAGCCATCCGATACTATTGTTATATTCATTGATATGAATTAGCCTACTGTTTACGGATTTATTTATACGTATTCAGGGTATTATTCTGGGCGCTTTGGATACTAACATGTAATGGAAATATCTCGCAGCTCACAATACTTCGGACCTAGAAGATGAGGAAGCGCGGAATAACATTTATTTTCACACTAAGGACGAGTGTGTTCATTTCTACGAACGCTATTCTCACAAAAAAGGGTTTGTTGTTCGAGTAGATTCGGAACACTTGAAAAAAGGAAGAATTCTGAAGGAGATGTGGTGAAAATTTATTCCTACCTTTATTATGTATGTAATAGGCAAGGCTCCACTAGTGAGGTCAATGTTGAGAAACAGACACAGTTCGAGGACAAGGTTGTGGAGAGAAGCCGCCCTAAAAGAAAGAGGTCTCGAATTAGGGCTGGATGCTCCGCCCGTGTTCGTTTTCAATGGGATGAGAATATGGCAGGATATGTTGTGCACAATTTTGATGGTGCTCACTGTCATGATTTGCACTCCACCGGGCATATTCACTTATTCAAGTCAAACAAGTGCATGAGCGATGCTCAAGGACTTGTTGCCGAAGCAAATCGCAACGCCGGGATGAGTCTTAGGTCATCGTATCAGCTACTGGCTGAGTGTGCCAGTGGGTATGAGAACCTGACTTTTACCAGATCTAATCAAAAGAACCATTTGAACAAGAAAAGAGAAAAGAATATGGCTCATGGAGAAACGACTTTCTTGCTTGAGTACTTTGATGACCAAAAGGAGAAGCATCCCGAATTCTTTTATGTTGTAGAGGTAGATTGTGAGGAGAAAGTTGCCAATAATTTTTGGACAGACAGTAGGATGTGTGAAGATTATGCACTTTTCGGAGACTCGGTCTCCTTCGACACCACCTTCCGAACCAATGAACACTTCCGGCCATTGGGTATGTTAATCAACGGATTTCATTATTTTTTTTGGATTGCAATATATATGTGTTTGTGTTTTGGTTGTTGATAACCCTTAAACTATACATATATTCACCTACACTTTTACATC